GGACCCTCTTCGGAGGCTCGCATGAACACCGGCAAGGAGGGCTACCCGACTGTGGTCGTGGAGGCGACATGCGACCACACCGGTGAGTTTTGTTCGGGCAGCACCTCCTCTTGGCTTTTTGTGTGTGTAGACATGTAGACGAGTTTCCTACCGCTGAGGGCTCACGAGATTGCAGCATTCCCGATACTGGCGCTCTATTGAGCCTAGGGCCCTTTTTTTGCGGTTTCTTCCAAGCAACCAAGTCTCCGCATGACACGAGACAAAGTTCTTTACTGCTGTAGTGCCTCCCTTTCGATCCCGACGAAAAGCGGGGGGGGGGNCTGGTGTCGTGCACAGCTGTGTGCAAAACTACACCGCCCGAGAGCAAAGAAAAAAACATGAAGTGCGCTGCTGCTGTTGTTCGCATTCTTCATGGAAGGTCCCTTGTTTTCGTTTTTTGTTTGCGGAGAAACTCGTGGCTACCCACCGCACCTGTAGAGCAGTTCATTAGGAAAAATAAACAAAACATGAACAGACTACCTGTTGGAGGTATAACCACGGTCGAAGCAGTTTTTTATATTAGAGCGGACACAGGGACACTCCGCATCCCACGAACACACCAAGACACGAACTTCTACCGTCATCTGACTCCCAACGCCGTCTGGCAGAGCATATCGTTGAAGGGTGGGTACCACGTGGGAGGAGGAAAGAGAGAGAGATGAAGCCGTTTGGTTGTTGTTGTTGCTTGTTTCTTAAAATCAAATTTCTCACTCAAGAGTAATTCGATACTCTTGTCCTCCGGCGCCGTCGCATCTCTCTTTCATGAATTCACTAATTCATTCATTGTGCGTCGTTCCTCTCATTCCAAACCTTGCTTTTGTAGACAGGAGCAGGGCCGTGGCGCTAACTGAAGCGCCTCTTCCCGGGTTGGTGGCACCGAACGTGTTCTACGGTGACAGAAGAATTACCCGCCCGAGAAAATCGAGCACCAAAAGTGAGGAACATGAAATTACTGCAGAACCAGTGCTCATAGACCCCTCTAACCAAATAGTAGAACAACCGTGTACTCGTGGAAGTACGTACCAGCTTGAGTAATTCAAACACGAATGGCGATGACACGAAATCATTGCAGAACCAGCGTGAATGGACCCCCCTAACCAAGGAGAAGAACAACCGTGTGCTAGCTCGAACAAGTGAGAGAAAGAACCCCGTAACACGGGAGAAGATATTAGACCCAGTGTGAATTCTGGAGAAGACCCCCGTGATAAGGGAGAAGCAGACCCCTCGAACCAGGGAGAAGATCGCAAGAGTGCTAGACCCAATACATGTATCGGAGACAAAGACAGAGAAAGTCCTAGTGCGGAAAATTGCAGAAGACCCCCGTGATAAGGGAGAAGCAGATCCTTCGCACCAGGAAAAAGATCGCAAGAGTGCTAGACCCAATACATGCATTGGAGACGAAGACCCCTAGAACAAGAGGGAAACAGACGCCGACAGATCCGAAGACCCGAAATGAAGTATAGTAACGGGTCGGCAAGCCTTGCCATCCTCCTCATCGGAGGCTACTGGCTGAAATGTTCAGAGAACAAAAGGAATGCCTAGCACGTGGTACACGACTCGACGAAAAACAGGAAATCATTCACGAACTTACAAAGACTGGTAGCATGCTTCTGAAAACGAACGACGGAAATTTGGGAGACGTCGCGAGGTCAATCGGCGGCACCTTGGTTTCACCACCGCTAAACCTGAGCGACCTCGAACAACACTTCGGAACCAAAAACACTTCCCAGATTTATCGAATCTAATCAATATTGTAGACAAAGGTGTGCCAGCGATAACGCACAAGCCGCCAAACCTCGAGTGCTCTCCGATACGGAAATCACAGTACGTTAGACGCCCACATGAAACTGGTGCGGGAGAAGCTGATAGATGACGTCGAACAGAAAATATTCCTCATATTTATTCAACGTAGCGGACGCAGCTCGCATGAAGGGCGTTCGTTTATCATCGCTATTTGACCTGTAGAACAGATGAAACATTGGTACTGCACTACACTGTCACTCGAGTTATGCCCTAAATGCCTGCGCCTAGAAAGTGTTAGTTGAGAGAAACCACACCACATCACCGAATCAGTTCTCAGTACAGCTGAGGAGCCCAGAGAAGCAATCAGCACACACTCTCCGCGCGTGGTCTAATAACCCCGACGCTCGACGGAACCTCAGCGTTATAATGCTGAGTGTTTCAAAGTGTTCTGAATACCACCCTTTCGGGATGAGTCTACGCTCCTCCTCCTCCTCCTCCCCCTCCTCCTCCTCCTCCTCCTCCCTATCCTTGCGCCGTGCAACAGCTACAGATTTTCTGGCACCCGGACCTTGCTTCAGCTTTCCGCCACCTACGATTTCTCTTCGCACACTGTCGCCGCAGCAAATCATCCTGCCGGAAATACGCCTGGTGTAGGCCTACGGCCCCCATGCTCTTTCTGGTACGCAACACAGCGTGCAGGCTCGCCAGTGCGCACCACACGCGCACCACACAGGCAAGGGGGCACGCAGATGACCAAAGACCCCCTTCGTGATAGGTGCCCCTTTATATAGGAATAAGTATAGCGTGGTTTTTGTAGGATTTCGTATCGCGTTATGGGGGGGGGTTGGTCACTTCGTACCCTCCCCCAAAAAAAACTCCCAAAAAAAAAGTGAGTACGTAGGTGTATCAAAACAAATTTCGGGCACCCTTGGCTATGGTAGGAAAAAAAATTACAATCATCAATGGCTTTTCTTTTGACCCCGAACTACTGCGCGGACAGAATGGAGGATTCAACGTGGATACGGAAACACAAGTACCCGACTGTTAGTACGGAAAGACTCTACCTGTTCCTTTCTGAAATAACGCGGTTGAGAGTCAGATAGCCTGAAAAGATGATACTAGTATCCACGGCTGACGTGAACAACGCTTACCGAAACGTGAGAGTCGCACCAGACGATGCACAAAAAATCTGCCGTGATAGGAGACGTACTAATCGCCGACTTCAGACTGACGTTTGGCTAAGCAGGTTCGCCCAGTTTTTGGGAAGTCATCGCGTCCGCTGCTGAACATTCACACCGCATCACCAACGTGCACAACGTACAACTGTAGACGAAGGGATCGAAATGATGTCACCCGTAAAAATAGTCGAGCCATGGGAAGGCGAACCACATGCCTGAGTGCCCCGAGATGCCAACGTGAAACCGCTCGGCGGAGGCGAAGCGCGCGATGATTTATCGTGCGGGGTGTACGCAAACGATTTCGCTTTACTGAAAGTACAACATGCGCCAGAGGACGCTTCAGCGCTGGAAGCCTCCTCGTCATTGGGGCCAGTCGAGGCAGGCCAAACGCCCATTCTCGCCCCGAAGAAAGCACAGACTGGAAAACGAAAGTGGACATTCTCGGACACACGATAATCACCCAAATGACGATCGCGACAACACGCGAGAGGATCGATGCGATAAGAACCGCGCTAGAGACCGATTGGCCACAGACCAGAGAATCCGCCAGTGTGCAAGTGGTCCTGAGTATGGCAGGAAAACTCTGGAACCTGACGTACGTCATGAGGGCGGGAAAATGTTCGTATGGCACCTCTTACGCCTCACCGGCCTACACGACAAGACTAGGAGACAGTCGAGAGAGAAGCGGCAGGTACGTCCCGGGTGGGAGTTCCACGGAGACCTAGACTTCTTCTGGAGATGGGCGCTGGAAGTTGACCTCGCGGAGAAAGGAGGGTCGCTTATCGCGTTTTTCTGAAACCACGTCCAACGCACGCCTTTCCGTCAATACCTATCGGATGCTAGCTTCGACGCAGTGGGCGGACACTGCCCCAAGCTAAAAGTGTTCTGGCGGTATCGATTTAATCCCGCGTTTACAGCAGAGCTGAAAAGGAAAGCAGAAGCCACAGAAACCAGCGCAATCACGATCAACACGCTAGAATTGCTCGGAATGATCATTGCATGATGGGTGGTCCAATTGGTCGTGGGAGAAAAGCCGACGCAACCCAGACAAGCTATCATGATGGGGGAGATGATGTGTCGGCGGTATCATGGGTGAAAAGATGCAGGGACTCGAGAGACAGGCGGGCGGAACTGTTCATGAGACTGCTTGGTCGTACGGAAATCGAAAACGGATGGTGTCACGTGGCGAAACACATCCCGGGACGCGAGAATACCCTCACGGACGGGATATCTAGATGGAAGTCATAGGACGTAGGGTAATCGTCATACGTGAGTCATAACTGGCGAATGCAAAACATCGGCGACACTTGAAAAGAACTAATTGAAATGATACTGCAAGAGAAATCCCGAACCAAAGAATGGATGGCCTCGCACGGATCCGCATGACAAGCGCGTGAAGAGAAGACGCGAAAAGATTAAGAACAGAATGCTGAGCGAAAGAATTGAAGGTGTCGTAACCCCAGAACAGGAAGCGAACACGGGACGAAGGGAACGAGCGATGAAGGCGAAAGGCTCCTCAGGATCATGGAGCACGGCTCCCTGAACGCGAGCAGCTGAAGGGATGCCACAGCAAGTGGGACACGTGGACAGCTGAAAGAACTAAAGCGAATCTGAGTCCATGATTTGTACGAGAGGACGGTGTGGATAGCGCAGTAAGAGAGCTGACTGTGTTTATGGCGAGGTGTTTAGTGTACAAGAACCAGAGCCAAACGGTGAAGGGGTACTTCCATAAACTGAACGCCGCCTGGGAGCTGCCCACATCGCACTTCAGAGTGGTGGCTGTTGGGAACGCAATAGACAGACTGCATGCGAGGGCAGAGACGAAGCCGTTGGTAAGGCAACCGCTCACCGTGCCGATGATTATAGCGGGGAGAACAAGAGCGCAAACGAAGGCCTTCAGACTTGTGGCGTGGATGGGAATCGCTCCCTCGTCTTTCTTGCTGTGCCGAGCGTCTGAGCTGTTGGCTTGCGACAACGGCTTGGTACACGCCGATTTTTGTCTCACGAGAGGGAACCTCGTACTTTTCTAGGGAGCGTTGAGGCTAGCGTGGGACGAAATAAAGCGGGCAGACAGAGTAGAAGTGACCTTTCGCGCATCGAAAGCGGATCAAAAGAGGCGAGGCGCGGTAGTGTCGAGAGAGAGAGAGAGAGAGTAATGCGGGACGAGGAACGGGGACTGATGGCTGAGAAGATGGGGTCGCCAGAGATTTTGCTGAATCTGCTTGACGTGTTTACCCAGAGTTGGGACGTATCGCGCCGCTCATGCAGTCGGTCAAGCAGGGACGGTGGGCAGTAGTGTCGTGGTCTGAAGCAACAACAGCACTAAGAGACACGGCGAGAGAAGGAGAAAACCCAACGCACTTCGCGTTGCATTCAGGGAGGATAGGTGGTGCGACGCAACTAGCAAAGCAGGGTGCGTCGGTTATTCAGATTCAGAAGGCAGGGAGGTGGAAATCAGGAGCCTTCATGATGTACGTTAGGGTCGGAGGCGAGGGCGCAAATTATGTATCGCGCGCACTAGCGTCTAGCTGAAGGGGAGAAAAAGTATGGACAAGAGCGGCGAATATCGGGCCGCGCAATGGGATATGACCTGGGCATAGACGTCGGGTTGGCCCGATAAGTGGTGCATAGTGAGTCCGAGGGGAAGTCAATGGCACGGCTCATGGATTGGATTTTGGTTTTGACATTTCTTGTGTTCGGCGTTTCTGATTTCTTGACGATTTTTCTAATCCATTTTTTTTTTAGCAAAACACAAACCTGCCGACTGATTGTAGACCAAGTACCAAGTGATCCTTCCGGGAGCGTGTAGTGGGCTCACCACCAGCAGATCAGTAGAGCAATAGTTTCAGCAGGATCAACCCACAGCTGTCTTCCAGCTGAAGTGTGACATTTCCCAAGCTCAACAGTTCACGCAGCGTTCATACAGCTCACGTGTTTTCGGCTCCAAAGAGGTCGTTCAGAAATCGACCGTTTGTCATGCGGCACACTCCACCACGTTTCACTTTCTGAATGCAACGCAAGCGATTTAATAAGCGCAGGACGGCTCTCGCCGAAAGGTAGGGAAGGCATCACTATTAGTAGCGTCGTAATCGAAAAATGCCTAACCTTTGGATATAGCAAAAGCACGAGGTTCGTCCGCAGGAAGCAAGTGCCACACGCATGCCGTTCATACAAGGCAGGATATCGTACTCGGTGCGCTCTGCAGCTATTACCGAATCAACGGCACAAAGATGAAAGAAACCTGCACATCACACTCCGTATATCTTTTAAAACACCAACGGTCCGTCAAACGTTTCTTCCCTCCCCAAGCAGAAAGAAACAGAGAAGCATTGGCGTGACGGACACGTCAACGATGTCCGTCTGAATCAACAAGGAACGGACCTGCGTAGGTGTACCCGAAACAGCTTTCTACACGAGGGAACCGGCCATGCTGAAGTATAGGCTGGAGCGGTAACGCCACTGTAAGATTATAAATACCATCCTAGCCCCAACCACACTTAATGGTACATACAAAGTTTGTTCTGCCCTGCCCGTTGCACGCGCTCCAATGGATACTTCGAGTTTCTTGCCCACTCTGGTTTACCACTACGTCCGCCGTTGCCGCTCTCGAGATCTACCCCTATCCCGCATCAGCGTACCCGCCCCCGCCGCCACCCTCGACCCGCCTCCGGCAGCCGCAGTCTCCCGCAAAACGGTCAAAATTGCTGGGTCAAATCTGTCCCTACCCCCGTCGTCTCCACTTCGAGCAAATGGCACTGCTGCCGCCACCTTATCCCTGGGAGAAGAAGGTGATACCTTGAACCCACATTCGCTGAGGGGAGCATTTCCACCACCAGCGGCAAGCCTTGAGCCTTGTCTGCCTGGGGTTTCGGAAACGCCGCCACCCTCGCTACCAAAAGTAGCGTTAGTGCTTCTAGCCCCCGGGTTACTGCCCCTTGTACCCATGTCTTCACCGGTGCTGCCGTTGTTGTTATGGCGGGTATGACTGCCGACACTAGCGGCACGACAACACCGTTGGCTGCCGTTGCCACCCCCGCCACCATCGGCGTGACATGGTGGCGGGGCAACGGTACCCTTCCGGCCTCGCTCGTGGTCGGCTTCCGGGTTGGCCCCATCGCCATCCTGCAGAACGTTCTTCGACATGTTGACGATTAGGTCGTGGTAGTGCCGGAACCCAAGCTGCCGGTCGCGGGCTTCCCGGAGGGCCTGCATGAGGGAAGAGAGCGGGACAGACAGAGCGAGGTAAGCGTGCTGGAACGTGATGCATCCGGCGTCGCGTGGGTAACGAGCGAAGGCGACGAATGCATTGGGAGGGATGCACGTGGAAGACAACGTGACTACAGCAGTTCGCTGTACTACGTTACGGACAGCATCATGTGCAAATGGCCTCGGCTTTCATTCAGCGGCGAGCTAACTGCATCATGCCGTGGAGGGCGAACGTGAAGCAGAATGTCGCTTGGGACATGAAGCAACTTCCATGCTCGATTGCCTACACCTCATGTGAACGTTGCGGCAAACGTTTTGACGACATGCGTTTAAAAATAGCCGCAATATTCGCGTGGCGTTGCCGATCCACTGAAAAGCTGTCTGAGGAACTACCACCTTCCTAACCCCGGGCATGAAAGTTTCCTCTAGTAGCTTGGATTCTCCTTGCTTGACAATTCAATGAAGATTACGCACAGCACGAGTTGAACAAAAGAACCTAATCAGTGCCAGCGGTCGAGTAACAGCGCGGGGATACGTCAACGCACCGGTACCATGCGCCGTAGTGTTCCTTTAGCCCTTGCCAGCGCGGCCCGAGCTTCATCTCTCTGTCTCGCGAGTCCCTTTGCGCTCCCCGATAAGTGTTCCATAGCCTCGCGCAAGTGCTTCATCTCTTCCTTGACCGCCTCCTCCCGTTTCTTTACAAACGAATAGACCGGGTAAAAAAGAATCCCCACGACGTATTTCGTCGACACGATCGAGGGACAACGGCGAGGTTATTTGATCACCAGGAGTCCCACCCATGCCGCAACGGCGTGTGAACATGTACATGATGTTAATGGTCGTTTTTCACGACTCAATTGCGTGTCGTGGCCCACCAGAAACAATCACCGCTTCCCCTCCACTCCAGCAAACCCGCCCTACCCCGCCCTAAAGAAGACAAATTTAGACACCAACCACACTAAACCGTGTCCATTCAACCTGTGTCTCGTCGACCCTGTCTGCTGCCGCCGCGTCCAGCTCCTGCAACACCTCCTCTCTCTCACTCGCTGCGGCTCCTACCCGTCGAAGCGCCGCGGCCGCCTGTCCGGCCACAACAGCGAGGGCAGCCATCTCTCCGCCGGAAAAGCCCTTATCCGGCGGCCGATGACCCTCATCCCCTCTGTGCTGCTGCTCTCTCCATGCCTGGGGAAGGGCGGGCAAAGCGGCATAAGTTCCCACCACGCGCAGAGAGAGAGAGCGAATGTTGCGGAGAGCGGGGCGTTTTTGTTTGTTGCTCAGAGTGCTCGATGTGTGCCATGGTAGCACAGACGTGCACAAGGGCGAGAGTACATGATTGAGCAACGTTTTCATGCCTGCAGGCAGATGTATCGTGTGATCCCACGGTCAATCCAGCGTGCCCTTGAAGCTTGGCTACCTAAAGGTACGAAGCGACCTCTGAATCCGCTCAAGTCTGGAACACACGCTGAAAGAACGATCCATATCGCATCCCAGGCGACAGGAGCCATGGGGAGGCGGTGGACAGTACAGCGGCAGTTCATACGAGTCCTACACACACAATGACATATCCTGTGGTCCCACCGGTAGATCATCTACTGCTCGAGTGCCAGGCGATGATTTGGACGAGAAGATTTGTTCACCCCAGCGACAAAACAACAATAGTCCATCGCTATAATCCTCCGAACCCAAACAATAAGTAGGTGTTCAGCGATGGATCGTGACGACCGTCATCTGCAGCATCCGTGTCAAACCAGTAGCCAACTTTCGCTTGCCTTGAGCACTCCCATCATGGCCTGACCTCCGTCCCCGCACGCAACGGGCAAACACGCAACGAACAACAGATCCGCGTCTTCCTCCTCCTCCGCCTCCTCTTCCTCCTTCTCTCGACCTCCCATCCCGATCCCCCCAGCCCTCACGGGAGAAGGAGACCGCTGCCGCTGCCGCTGCCGCCGCCGCCTCGGAGACGGAGACTCGGACTCGCTCCACCACCGCCCGCCCCCTCTCGGCGGAGGCGACTTCGACACGAACCCGTAACCCCTAGCAGAACCGGCACCGGCACCAGCACGGCCAGCAGGGGAAGGAGATCGCGACGACTCGCAGTCGTCACTGGCCGGGAAAAAGGCCAAGCGGGACGGCCCGCGCCCGCTGCCGCCAACACCGAGAACCGGCGACCCATCCGGCGAACGGCTGCGACGGTGGTTCCAAGAAGCAGGCGGCGGAAGCAGCGTCGACGCGCTGTCAGGGATGGGGCCTGTGACCGCCTTCTTCTTCCAGCCTTGGAAAGACATAGACAGCGGCTGTGCGTGCGCGCCGTTTTCAGCGGCACGGTGAGAAGGTGACTCGGGATCGTACCTCTCCTGCAGCGGGAGGGCGTGGAGGTCCGCGGGACCCGCCAGAGCGACATCGAGCGCTCCGCTGGTGCTGTAGAGACGGCGGGACGAGCGGGGGGGAGATGCGCCACCAGTGCTCCCGTTTCCGCCACGCCGCGTTTGGAAGGCAAGGCCGGTCGCGACGCACCGAGCGACGAGTCCGTTGCCGATGGGAAACGACGCCTCCAAAGGGTCTTGGTCGGGCGGTGCCTTCGTTTTGTGTATCAGGTTGCGGAGAAGCATGTACGGCGGGGTGGGCAGTAGGTGGGCCGGCTTGGGACGAAGAGTATAACAGGATATTAGGTTCGATGTCTGGCAAGGATGATCAAAAGTAGGCAGAATGTTGCGTCACGGACTTGGGGGGGGGGGTCAGCGTCAGCATCTTCCCAGCACATGTCTGTATCGTCACTAACGTTTCACTCTTCCCAGCATACGATTGGCTTTGTCCTTGTAGAATGCAAGCACCTCGTAAGACTATATACAGAATTGTAATTTGTTCTTTTTGGTTCCTTGAGATTCGCCGGGCTCTTCGAGTCGTAGAACACGTCAGCTGTGTGCGCTGTTCGAGCTTGGGAAACGCCACTGATGGCAGGTGGTAGCTTTGCGTTCATCTTGCATCACGCCTTGATGACACTCCTACTACTTGCTCTTATGAGCCCACTCCGAAGGCGCGCCATACACACAACATAAAACCAAAAAAACAATCAAGATCAGCCCGACACGGAACTCACCCGCCGGTCGGACTCGAGGCAAAACATGCCACCCCCGGGCTCGCCATTCAGCAGGAGCAAACGCCCCCGCGATGAAATAGCCACCTCCGAAACGAAATCTTCCACGAGCGTGAACACTTCCGGGATCTGAACGGCACATTGAAATAGGGATACACGGATAGACAGCGGGCGAGGGTATTGTCGCTCTGGCAGAGGGGCGAATCGGTTGCCATGGAGAGGCGAAGGTTCTTTCGTGCTCCACGTTCGGCAAAACAAGAACATTCGTGCAATTATCATCAAGTTTTACGAGCAAATCCCTCTCATGGACGGCCACACCAGCGAACGAACACAAGCAGCAGTCGCAAGCACAGCGAAGCGTACAGACCAAACCAATCCACGAACAATGGTAAGAGCCCCCGATCTACGCATACGCTTCTTGCAACCGCCGAAAAAAAACAACCCGTCTCCCGTCCTCACCGAAGAAGCCGTCGAAAAAGCGGCCGCCGCTTCCACGAACACCCCCGCCACCGCTTCCAAGCCGTCTTCCATCCCACCGCCCCTAGGTTCTCCGTCGCCACTACGCCTGCCACCACCGTCACCATCACCGCCGCAAGCGTTCCGTGTCCACGTCCTCAGCGCCAGCCGCATCTCCGCTCTGTCGGACCGCCTCCGGTCGGAAGCCCTCGCCAGCGCCGTCAGAGCCTTGGCCTTGCCGTGAGCAATCCGGGACCCTTCCCTCCACGTCGAAAACGCCTCCGATACGAGACCCTGGGCCGCCTGGGAGATGCGGGAGAGAGCGCGCGATCTGAGCCTCGACGAGGCGCGGGCTTCTCCTCGCCACCTGCCGAAGACTTCATGCAACCGCCGCCGTCTGGACCTTTTCGTGAGCGGCAACGGCCAGGGGGGGGGGGGGG